GAGAGTATCAGCGGTCGAAACGGACGCAGCAGCGCGCCCGCGTAGCGTGACCCGAAGACCGCCAGTGATGGAGATGAGGATCTCCAACTCCGCGTGCCCGGAGCTCGGAGATCTGGAGCAAGGATACCGTTACAATCAGTAAAACAAGGCGCGTCTTGTAAATCGAAAGACAATGTCATAGTGGAGAGATCCTTTGTGTCTTTTTGTTGCTCCTGTTTCTGCAGCGCAACAAGACCAACCGTAGACATGCTCTTCGCAGGAGAGGTCTGATCACCACCGGGCCAAGCCTCGAGTGGGCCGTTGCGGGCTTCCACGTCCACTAACAAGCTGTAGACGCCAATGAGAAGGCATCGCCGAAGGGCCTCTCCCGTGGGAAGGGGGCGGGGGGAAGTTTCGCTGTGGCGTCTGCTTTAGCAAGCATCATCTACTGGCAGCACAGACTGACGCGGAGATGGGACGAAGAGGCCAATCAGTCCACCATGCTTGACTCAGGCCGCTCCTCAAAGTGACCGAGAAGCCCTGCCGTTTTCCTGCTTCGTTTGAACTGACAGGGACGATGGGAAGGCTGGCTGAAGCTGGTAGATCATCTGTAAGCCGTCTTCTCCGCGATAGTCCGTCTTGTCGATCGTAGTAAACCCGTCGATGGAACCCGTGAGCAAATACATACATGCGGCTGCAACTATGTAATTAGAAGTCCAAGGCTCTGGTCGTTCGATACGTGTAAAACCAGACGAACAAGTCCCCCGGCCCTGAGCGGCTCCGTTGTTGATCGACGCGAAATGGAGCATCTTGCCAGGTTCCGGAGACCGGTAAATATGCAGGCAGGACTTTGTTTAGAGCTTCACTAGGTTCCCCCCATGCTTGCAACGCCCACGACTTTCTGTTGGCTCTGTTACAATTCCCATCCAATGCCTTCACCAGAGTCTGGGTTTATGAGAACCACTTAAACCCCGACGAGACACGGGACGCACCTTGTGTCACGAATTGAGCGTCGCACGGCGTATGTGTGGCGTTTCTCTGCATCGAAGAGAGCCTTGTTTCGGTACAGTAGCCTCGGCGTCAGCGAGACAAACAACCAGTACAGTACATGCCGCGCGGATGGATACAGACAGACCACGCCCTACTAAAGAGCCATAATCCATGACATGTCAGCCCTCTGTTTGAAATATCCCATCACTCACAGGTGTCAGCAGTCAAAAACGTCAGTCACAAAGTTCAAATCGAACAGGTCAGATGGAGCAAAAAGCAATGAAACGGGGGATGATGGGTGCATGAGGATCGCATCGAAAATGGAGGGAAAGCCCCCTTCTAGATTGCTTCTCTGCCGGCCACTGCTGCTTGCTAGTGGACCAACCTATCCCATGGACCACCACAACCCCCGGCCGCGCTCGGGCGATCCCCCCTTTGGTAGCGCCTGGGACGGAGGATGAGAGGGGACCCAGAGAGGGGATCCATCAGCCAGGGAGACCCCGGTCAGGAGGCAAGGAGCTTTGCTTCAAGTGGTCCGTGTGTGTTGAGCGTGGGTTGTCGCTAGCCGGCGAACATCTGGTTATGGATGTGGGCTCACGGGAAGAGACACCTCCAAAGCTCTAATTGCGTTGCGAACCGTGACGGAAGACGGCAGGAAAGTAGAAGATTCCCATGAACCAGAGACAATGGGATAGACGCGGGCTGGGCTGGGAGCGGCACGGAAAAGCCTCGATGCCACCATCCGAGATTTGTCTCTCAGCTTTGTTTGTGGGCGTCTGTCTACATTGTGTTTCTCTCCAAGAAGCAATCAATCGAGGCACGAACATCTACAGGCCATGTATGTACTGTAAGTGATTACTGGGGCCCTGCAACGGCATGTCGGCAGCCGCGTATCAACCTTGGCAATGATGTGACTACTGCCGTCTATTCCTTCACAGCGCAACCCCGAGTAATGTCAAAGGCCAGGGCGATAATAACACGGTTCTAGAGTCTCGTCTCGCAACGGAGAGGGCCCTTGTTGCTTCGAATCTCGTCCAAGCTGACCAATCGCAACACCGGACGACCGGTTCAGTTAGAGAAGCTTCACCGTCGTCAGGCAAGGCGGGGAGGTTACAGAAAGCAACCTACGACCGCATGTTAAGGGCAGGGCACTTATAACGCCCAGCAGATATGCCACCTGCCGTTGTTTGAGAGTGTCCCAACCGACTTTGATGCATTGTTTCGAGAGACAGCTGCAACTCCATCTACCATCTCGTCTGGGCGTTTGGAACCTGATACGGAGAGGATCCCAATATGGACGACGTTTCGACTTTGAGGCTTCCGTGTCTGATGGTTGGCTGAATTGTCCCATCATGCCCATCTCTCCAAAACCGAGCCAGCCTTATTAGCCCGTCGTGCAGTGCATCGAAGAAAGGAAAGCTGGAACAACTCCACAGTTCACACACCCCCTATTTTCCCTGCGGATCACTTCTCCGTACAGTACGGTCACGGTCATGTCCTTGTCCGAGGTACACGCCCAAGCGCCCCGGCCAAGTACCTCTTTCTTTTTTGCACTTGACTTCGTTTCGAGAGTACACAAGACATTGAATGGGGTTTGTCTCTACGCAGGGCGACCAAACTGCAATGTCTCGCCTTGCCGCATCGAGTTTGCGACAGAGTCGTGAGAGAGGAAAGAAGCGCGACAACAACGACCCTTTCCGGGCTTCCGCGTCTCTCAAGACATTCTTTTGATTCTCTGAATGGCCTTTCATGATCATCCTGCCCCCGGTCGAGCTGCTGAAAGGGGACGGCGCTATACCCCAGGGGGACAGGTCATGGATGGACAGTCTAGTGGGATGAGCTTCTCCACCCGCCATCAAAGCCAAGTTGTTCTGCAAGCGGCGATGGGGGATGGATGGATGGAAGATGGAAGGTGTTGTATCGTCCATCCCCTTATTATTAGCGGGCGCAAGGCCCAGTTGCCAATCGCTTCTGGCGCAGGGACGTCGTCAGGTTGCTTGATTAGCTGACGAGACCGGCTCTCGCTCGCTCGCTCAGATGCTTGCTTGCTTGCTTCCATTCAGAAAAGCCATCTTCCATCCATGGATCCATATCCACCAGCCAAGCAAATGGCACCATCCATTTCTCCACCGTGGGCCTTCTTTTGAATTGGTGCTTGTGCTGGTGCTTTGCCCCCCGGAAGAGGACTGATGAGTAGGAGCAAGAAACTCGGACATGGCCGCTGCTGAAAGCTGAAGTGATCGTGTCGTGTCGTGTTCACGAGGTCTTGGGTATCTGCGCGTGTCTCCATCTGTGTACTTCTCTCTGGGATGCAATATCGTGCCCCAAAAAAGCCCTCTGGCACACAAGGCTTCCCCCCCTTGTTTTTGTCCATCCTCCTCGCTTCCTCTCGTCCGCCCTGCGTCTCTCCTCGCAGAGCAAGACTCTTACAGCCTCGAGGAGGATGGATGCAGAGAAACGGTGGAACAGAGTGCAGGCGCAGATGCGCGTTGTGCAGCAGCAGGAGCAGAAGCATCACATCAACAGCACTGTGCGTCAACAGTGCAGAACCCTCCTCTGGCTCAGCAACCAGTGAGGGCCTGAGGTCTTCTCTGCAGCTCAATTGATGGATCGACCGCGACATGGGGTCCAGCGGAAGCATCTCTGGCATTAGTGGACGGGGGAGGCCCCGAGCTCAGGGCTGCGCTCAGGAGATGCACACTGTATACCCGGCCGAGAGCAGAGGCTCATGTATACTTGCGAGAAACCCCGGATGAGTTGAGTCTGGCGCGGTACCTGGAGCTAGACTGGGTGCAGGTCATGAGCCCGGGTACCGTACCGAGGCTGGTGCTCTACCCTACCAGGCCCAGGTTTAGACAGTTTCCTGTAGCGACCTGGCGTCCCTTCGGCTTCATTCTTAATCTCCTTCAAGTGCGCTGATGGCTGGTGGGTGCAGTCCATAATGGAGTGCATTGAGGGTCCCTGGGAGGATCCGCCTGCGTCTCCCCAGGGTGGCCCTTGGAGGCTTGCTAGGTCCTTGGCCGCTTTGGCTCAAGCGGAGGTACATCGCGCTCGCTAGCATCTCTGCAGCAAGCTACAGTGGCCCAGCACTCTAATAATTAACGGGGATGACCTAATCTTTGGGGGACGGCCAGTAAGGACAAGCATCTGGCTCGCTGTAAATGAATTGAGAAGTGCTAGCAGCTTGGACCCAATGGGATGGCACGTTGAGGGTGGTGGTTTTGGCTGCTGACAAGAAAAAAGGGTACATGCAGATGCACGCCAGTTTGCCGCAACTGTCGAGTACCTCTCTTCATTTCTCTCCACAAGCCCAGCCCACGCCTCTCCCTTCCCCCCCTCTAGAGCTGGAGGTTCACGGTGTCCCCGGCCATCCAACTTCTTTTTCGCATCCTCTTTTCCCTTCCATTTCCAATCCAAACTCTCTACTACAGGAGGTCCTTGTCGAGTCCTCCGCTGTTTTAGGGTTTCCTCTACTGGGAGTTTTGGCCCATCCGTCCATCGCATCCGCCCACCCGCCGCCGCTGCGTTGCGTTGCGCATCAACACCAATCGTCCGTCATCCACCCAAAAGTAGCATTTGCCGCCCTCGTCAACCGTATTCTGTCATCATCCATCCATCCATCAAATCAATCAGACGGCATTGATCATTGCGAAGAGGACGTGACCCCAGGTCAGTTTGTCTTTCTTCCTCTTATCCTCACCTTCTACTCCAGTCAAGGCCTGCTCTATCTCCGACTCCTCGGCCCATCTCCCATCACCACAGAAGAACAAGCATAGCGCGCACGCTCCCCAGGCTCGTTCGTTCGCTCGCTTCACACGCCCCCTTCTCCACCCCCCCGGCCGACCTCATCCAGGCCAGGCCCCTCCCCCCCTGGTCCAGGGGAGGCGCGAGAGATTCCGCCCCGGGCTGGGCCTTTGTTGGCACGACTCGTGTGTCGTGCCCCAAATTGCAGCCTCCTCCCCCCAGCTGCTGCGCTACACCAAAAGCTGCTTCTGCATCTCCTTTTCTCTTCCTTCACTCCACCTCACCTCGCCTCGCCTTCGCTTTGTCTCGCTTCTTCCTCTCATCTCTTTCCTCTTTCTTTTCCTCCCTATACCCTTCGCATCTTGTTGCATCGCCCACCAGTCGTTCCTTTAACCACGACTCGCGAGCATCGTTATCACTGACATCGGCCGTCCCAGCCAGACCAGCGCGATCCCGACGACCAACGTAAACACCGCGTCGTCTCGTCTCGCACCGTTTCATCTCATCAGTCAAGCATTTGTTTAGCATCGTCGAGGCGACAGCCACACCACATTCACAATGGGTTGCGGAATGAGCACAGAGGAGAAGGAGGGCAAGGCCCGGAACGAGGAGATTGAGAACCAGCTCAAGAGAGATAAGATGATGCAGCGAAACGAGATCAAGATGCTTCTTCTCGGTATGTTTTCTATCCACCCATTCGACCGCATCGCCGGCGACGACGCCTCGATCAATCCACTCGAATGCGAACAGCTTCTAACCTGTCGCGTCAGGTGCCGGTGAATCCGGAAAGTCTACCATTCTCAAGCAGATGAAGCTCATCCACGAGGGTGGCTACTCGCGTGATGAGCGAGAATCCTTCAAGGAGATCATCTTCAGCAACACCGTCCAGTCAATGCGCGTTATCCTCGAGGCCATGGAGTCGCTCGAGCTTCCTCTCGAGGACCAGCGCATGGAGTACCACGTCCAGACCATCTTCATGCAGCCCGCTCAGATCGAGGGCGACGTTCTCCCCCCAGAGGTTGGCAGCGCCATCGAGGCTCTGTGGAAGGATCGTGGTGTGCAAGAGTGCTTTAAGCGATCGCGAGAGTATCAGCTGAACGACTCGGCTCGATAGTATGTGCTTGTCCCCATGACCCCTTGCGCTTCGCTAACCATGAATAGCTACTTTGATAACATCGCGCGAATTGCGGCTCCCGACTACATGCCTAATGATCAGGATGTCCTCCGGTCGCGTGTCAAGACCACTGGTATCACCGAGACCACTTTCATTATCGGTGATCTCACCTACAGAATGTTCGACGTCGGTGGTCAAAGATCCGAGCGAAAGAAGTGGATTCACTGCTTCGAGAACGTTACCACCATCCTCTTCCTCGTCGCCATCTCCGAGTACGATCAGCTTCTGTTCGAAGATGAGACAGTCAACCGAATGCAGGAGGCCCTCACCCTGTTCGACTCCATCTGCAACTCGAGGTGGTTCATCAAGACCTCCATTATCCTGTTCCTCAACAAGATCGATCGCTTCAAGGAGAAGCTGCCTGTCAGCCCCATGAAGAACTACTTCCCCGATTACGAGGGTGGCGACGACTACGCTGCGGCGTGCGACTACATCCTGAACCGTTTCGTCAGCTTGAACCAGCACGAGACCAAGCAGATCTACACTCACTTTACCTGCGCAACCGATACCACCCAGATCCGCTTCGTCATGGCTGCTGTCAATGGTGAGTTTTTTCTATGCTTCAAACCACGATCCTCTGCTAACGCGCTATAGACATCATCATCCAGGAGAACCTTCGTCTCTGCGGTCTCATCTAAATGATTTATTTTTCTTGCTGTCACAAAAACACGAATACCCTCGATCTTAATAACGACACTGCTTAGATGGGCCACGGGGACATGGCTCACGATTTCTTCACTGTACTCGTCATACCATTGGGCCGGAAGCTCGGGCAGACGGCGCGACCTTGGTCGACGCTTGTTTCTTATCGCCCCAACCATCACGCCAGATATAGTACTTTTTTGGCTGCGCCCCAGGTCGACCTTGGTTCCCTTTCTTTGTAAGGATTTTGCGGGCTGATGGATGGGAGTTGCTTTGTACCACAAAACGTCTTTTTTTTTTTATTAGGGAGAAAGAATTGAAGACCGCTGGACCACAGAAGATGGGGCCGCGAAGGCCAGTGGACACGGCCGCCCACGGACTGCCGAGGGAGATGAAGCGAGTGATGGAGTGAGGGATGAAAGGGGGGGCCGCCAGAGAAGCATGAAGGACGATAAAGAACTGATGGGGCCTCTATTTGCATCTGATCAGTATGGGCGAGGGAGGATGGTGGTCATCTACTTTGTTTAATTACGAAACTCTTTTCCTACCACGCTTTGACTGTTGATTCTGATATTATGCTCCCATTTCCAGTGTTGTTGATTTACTTTTTGGTCTCTTGTTTTTGGGTATTTGAAACAGCCACACCGCCTGTTGCGAAATTCCTACATGTCATGCCGTCTTGCTTTTTCCATGTCGACCATGGTTCACGTTTCTTTTGCGGTCTTCTCCTCGTGTCTGTTATCCTGGGTTCTTGTTGGACAAAGTGATGACACGCAGAGAATCCAACCTGGATGGTGGGTTTCCACGAACTCGTTCAAGGTGTGCGTCCGGAGAAATGGTCCGAGACCACAGAGAGACATGGGATTTGTCATATTGGATAGATTTGGATCGCTGGGCTGCTTCGATCGTCAAGTTGACCGGTTGCCGTTTTGGTGATGGGATGTCTTGGAAGATGGATGTCATGTGACTTTTCTCGTCCAACAGTTTGGTAAACACAACATTTCACGAGTTGACCATCTGGGTGTCTAGGCACCTAGGTATTGAGAGTGGTGATGAAAATGAATTCATGTCTATACTGGCATCCAGCAGGAAATACAATAGCAACCTCCCATATGCTTTGATCTCTGACCTCGAGACCAAGTGTACATGCACATGTCCATCAACCTTCTTGTTGTGATTTATGATTTGTGTTCTCATACAGTATTATACATAGCATCCACCTCCGTCCTCGTGTTACAGTGTCATTAAAATCCCTGGGGTACATTCCTTGGTATAGTCCGCGTCCGGTTGATCCAGATACAACAAATAAAAAAACAGGTCCAGACAGATCCAAAAGAATCTCCAGTGTGGTCCAAAGGGAGTCCGGGTCCGTGTTAAACATCCAGAGAAATACAAACCTTGATTTCGCATCCATGGGATCGCTTCCAATTGTTAATCTGGTGGGTGAAATGACGAATCCATATGCAAAGGCCATCCATGCTGGGTTGAGTTGGTATGTAGGTTGTAGGTGACCTCGATGGGTAGGGAGTTGAACGGATCCGATGAAGGGCGAGGAATCTACTCGAGCCCGGAGAAATAGGAAAAGAAGATTAGGAAATCGAAATGCAAAATCAGTCGCAGCAGGTAGGGTAATGGCTCAACCTTGTGAGCGAATGTTCTCGTACAGAATACTTCATCCAAGGTGTAAGGTGTGGGTACTTCAACAAGAACTTGTCAGTGCCTTGACAGGCGAGGAGCATATCTGAACTCAGACGGACGGATTCCGGCTCCTCCTTCTCTGGCAGTCGAGTTGGAATATTCAGAAGCCAAAAGCTACTGTACCTGTATGGTCTGGTTAGGAGGAGGTTGGTGCATGAACAGAAGAACCATGAACTTACCAGTTCTTTACCTTGTCTTTTTTTTGGTCTTTTTTCGTTTTTTGTTGTAGGTTCTTGCCTTGACGGCTCGTTGCCACTGTCCACAATGCAGTCGAAAGGGCGTCACTTGACAGTGACGGCTTGACAATGATAGCAAGCTGTGGCCACTTTCAACCGAGGCAAGACACTGCGGAGCATCCATCCAGTGAGGGTGAGGACTAGTGATACTCGGTATCATCCGAGCGGGGGTTTCCCATGCTCTCGTCCGATGCAGTAGCAGGTGTAGCGCGGTCGTGCTCCTCATTCTGCTCCTCCACGATGCGTCCCTGAGTCTCCTGGTAAAGACGCTCCTCAGCCCTGCCCTCGGGGGTCTGAAGATACTCTTCAAACTCGGCAATACGCATTCCAAGTTCCTCGGCAGCTGATTCGATTCTTGCAATGTGTCTGTCTCTGCGAGAGAGTGTAGTGACATCTTTCATGGCCTGCTTTACCAAATGCCCGGTTGGAGCAGCCAAGTTCTAGTTGCTGGGGTTCAGTCGGGAAGGGAGGGTGTAGGCGGGAGGGGAAGGTTGGGGGGTAGAAGGTTGATGCGCAGGTTGAAGCGCGTTGTTGAATGAGGTTGTCTGCGACACCGACAAAGATGGGAGTGGGGGCAAATAGGTAGGTTGCTGAGCAGATGAGATCATGGCCAAAGGTGACGTCTGAGGGAAAGATGAAGATTGCTGAGAAGGTGAGGCTTGTGTGAAAGACAATGTGGGTTGAGCAAGGGTAGCAGAATCTTGCATCATGTTGGGGAGCAGAGCCAGAGCATTAGAGCCCGCGTTCCAAGCAGGGGTAGGAGCATAGGTTGCATTGGCTTGGTTGGTCTCTGATAGGAATTGTCATGTTAGAATTGGCTCAAAGACAAGGCCCGAAGCGATGAGCGAAGGTGGTTGCTTGACTTACCATGAAAGGTGCATCGCGAGCCGCTGGCGTTGAACCAACAGTTGGTGCAGCTGCCACACAACTGACCCTCAAGGATGACACAATCCTGCCAAGGACCGTGTCCCTTGGCGCAGTTCTTGCAGGCTCTTCTGACGGGAACACCAGTGACATAGCCGAGGAGGGCCTCGACGTTGCTGCGACGCCCCATGTTGAGCTTGGTCTCAGGTCGGCGCTGAGTTGGCTCCCGCATAGCGAATTCGCCTGCCAGCCTCCTGCATAGCGCTGTGTCGATTCTGATACTAAGACCATAGATTCGGAAAGCGATCTGTCCGGCAGTGCGGCCTCCCAAAGGAAGGGTAAAACCAGTCAAGTTCGGCTGAGGCAAGGCCCACGAAGGGATCTCCTCACCGTCTGTGGTGGTAAGGGCCTGAGACCCGGCAAATTGATGCGAGGTCGTAGGAGGCATAGAGGAGCCGCCAACGGGCCCGCCGTTGTTGAGATTAGCAAGAGTGAGGTCATCAGGAAACTGGAGATGATCCTCGGGGAACATGTCCATGTTCAGCCCATCGAAAGGAGAAGGGGACATGAGGCTGTCAGTAAAGCTACCAACCTGGGGATTCTGCAGAAGGAGAGCGTTGACGTCTTCGAGAGGTCGAAGCCGCTCATGATCCTCACGAAGCTCTCGCTGCTCCGGAGACTCGGACTGCTGTCGAGAGGCAGTCAGGCGAGCAGAGGATTGGCGGGTAGAGCGCCTGTGCGCAGGGACGCGTCTGGTGGTTCTGACTTTCGGCATCGTCTTAAGGATGATTCTGATATCAGAGATTCAAATAATAGACGAGGCTTACACAGAGCGATCTTGGAGGGTGAGAAATAGAAGGGTAGGTGGTGTGGTTTTAGATCGTGAGTGAGTGTTGACAGGGTCAGACGGTTGGTTACAGGTGTTTGGCGGGTGGGAAATTGTGGGATCAACAAGGGCTTCGGGGCGTGAGCGAGGAAACGGGGGTCCGTGCGTTTGGATTAGGGCACAGTGCCCATACGCGTCAGATGCGTCTTCACACTATACGCGTCGAGATGCATCTGAGGTTGGCCTGAGGTGGATGTGATATGCAGGGATGTGATGGTGGAGTGGGTTGTGCAGTCGGGATTGGCTGCATAAAGAGCCGAACAAGTTATGAAATCGAGTCCATCCTGCACAAGAGCTTTGTATTCAGGAAAGGGAGGAATTAGATCAGGTCTTCTATCCAGGTGTGTTCATCATTGAAATGCAATGGCTTTATCATCACTAGGTAGGTACCCAGCAATCATCTAGACTCCAGAGCTATCTATACTCTCATCTAAGGCTTCATCTCTACCTCCCAGCTCCACCAGCTTGCTCCCAGATTCCATCCCCTCTTCCCTCAGTAATCTCCTTCCATTGCATCGCAAACTCTCGCAATCCTCCCTCGCCAGCCAGACTTGCATCTACAACTTCCTTTGGCAGCTTGTGTGCCGAGTACTGGGGACTACTGAAGTTGTAGGCCGCCGGGTCGTCCTTTTCAATGATTCTAAACTCCGGAACCATCTCGGGGTGGTACTCGAATTCCTCGTCATCCTCCTCGCCTTCGGTTACTGTATCGTCTCCGCTGACATCCGCGCCCGCATCGTTGCTCGAAGTTCCATACAAGGGCTTGGGGACATCCATTTCAAGAAGCTCCTGCCAACCGAAAAGAAGGCTGTCTGTTCGAGGAGCCCAGGGGTTGATGTCGATAAGTCTCACTCTTCCAAGACCATCCTTCTCGAAAGAATTCTCTGGTACGTAAACGTCAAAGACGAAGCTGGCATCGGGGAATGTGAATCTCAGCTTCTCTCGGAAGAAGGTCTTGATCTTGCGCCACAGCTGGGGCCGAATTCCTTCCAGAAAGTCGTAGTGGTTGAGATCTCTCTGTGAGATTCCAATCAGGGATCGGTGCTTGACGAAACAGCGGAACTCTAGGGCCACATGAGGCGTGAAGAATGGCCGTAGAACAAGTACGGGGGCGTATGGTCGAGATGGTGCAGCCGGGGTGCAGTCGTCAAAGGCGTGGTCGAGATCGTGAGAGATGAAGGACGATGATTTGAGGAGGAGGTAAATGTCGTTTGGGGAAGTACACTTGAGCGTGTTCTGGTGAGGTGATATCCACTTGGCATCCTTGGGTGAGGACCAGTTCAATTTTGGTGCCACGGCGCCGCCAAGCTCGGCGATCTTCTCCTTGATGAGCTTGTGAGTTTCCGGGAATCTCTGGTTTGGGGGTAGTTTCTCAGGTTCGTCATCTTCCTCATCCGAAGATTCGGGATCCTGTACAGGTGGCCTCGTAGATGTGCTTGCTGAAGTGTGCCACTCCTCGTCGGTCTCAGTTGGTGTCTCCTCATCATCCGCCAGAAAGATACCATCCTCGTGAAGGTACTCTATGAATGACGGGGGCAGCGGGATAATTCTCGACTTGAGACATGAGCTCCTCAGCTTGGGAAACCAGGAGTCGTAGGAGCAGTTTTGGATATGATCTTTGGTGACTGGAGGAAAGACAAGCTCAGGCGCATCGCCTTCGTTGCCAGTGGAGGCAGAGCCAGACAAGTGAGGCATTGCTGATGGTCCAAGGAACTGGAGAGAAACCCAACTTCTAAATCGTGGAAATATTGTTTTGGGCAGAATGAGATTCGATCAAAAGATCAAAAGAATTCCGTTTATATCTTCGAGGTTGCTTGACTCACTTACAAATCTTGTAGAAATATTCCTTGCCCCTCCATCATGAGGGGCAATTTCTAGGGCGTATCTTATCAATTCTGCCGCTTTCTATTGATTCGACATCTCACCGCCTTCCATTCCTGACAAGGAACCTACATCACCGAGGCCCACCTTTGCGAACATGCAAACATACATCCTCCATACTCGAGTTTATGATTGCGACTTTCCCGAATCCCGAGTCGTATCTATTTTCCATCAAACATGTCTGATAACGTCGGTCTCTCCACTCCCCGAGGTAGTGGTACTTCTGGCTACGTCCAGCGAAACCTCGCCCACATCAAGCCTCGCGACTACGGCGCGCCGTACCCCAAGGACCTCGACAGCTTGCGGCATAAGCAGCGGCAACCCGACAAGGGAATATTGGAGCACGATCGCAAGCGCGAGGTTGAAGTTAAGGTCTTTGACCTCAGAGATCAGCTAGAAGATGAAGAGTAGGTCCACCGCCAACACCAGTTACAAGAGTCTATCCCACTAACCTTTTCTTGTGCAGGGTTGATGAAGAGGAGATTGAGAAACGATGCGATGAGCTCCGAAAAAAGCTCCTTGCCGAGATGAACTCCGGTAGAAGGGGCGCCGGACCCAAGAAGGCGTTCAAGCAACACCAAGTTCACGAGATGGCCGACGCCAAGATCAAGGAGAGCGAGCGACTACGAAAAGCCTTGAAGATCAGTGCCGACTACGAAGAGGGAAGTCACTGGAAACGACAGGAAGAGAGACTGCGCACTGCTCTGGATAAGGACGATGGTGAGGAAAAGGAGAAGGAGAGTGAGAGAGAACCCAGAGACTAAGTTTCGCACCACTCGATGCTTCATCTCGGATTTCGCGGAATCCTGTGACAGGAAGATGTGTGACAGACAACACAAGCAGTGGTATGGCTGATCCTTTGGCATCAGTTCTGTACCGGGCCTCCCCTGGACGGCATCAGAGTATTCTCGATAGAGACGTCAGGGGCAGGTATTATGAGGCGGAATTCACCTAGGGCATAGTTTGCATTTTCCATCATGTATTCTTTTTAGCTCTGTCGGCGCATTGGCGTTTGGGTTCATATTCGGGAACAGACTCCCATCTCATCGATGTATTGGTATAGGGTATTCTTGGCTCATTGGATAAATACACACATTCCTGCTTGGATACACGATTTCTGCTTCCCTTCTGTTTCTCTCGTGGAGATATCCCCGTGGTACACATTTTATGTAACTTGTGTCTGCTTAGTTATGGTCGTGTTTATCGGGTTTGTTCTGGTGATGAGTGAAGTTGCAAGTTGGTTTAAATGGGCAATGCTGGAGGCCCAGTTTGATCATCTCACTCAAGACTAGGTTTCAGGTCCAGCATTATATTAACCCCCTAATTAACAAACTGAGCTGAGTTAAGAATGAAGAATGATAAAATCATCATACAAGTCGTAAGTATTCGCCAAACCTATCGACTCGAACCTCCAGTTGGAAACGCCGTGTGGTGTAGCACATGTAAGTGCAATGTGGCTTGTCCCGAGCTCCAGCCACAAGGACCCGCAACACCACGAGCATCCTTGAACCTCACACGTCACTTAGACACCTTCAGTTTCATGAGATCGTTTGCCACCGACACATCATGGCAAGATTCACGCAAGCGCCGGGCGCCGCCCTCAACAGAAGCTCGATTGATACAGCCTCGGCCGAGCTGGGGATTCTCCTCCTGAGAATACAGAATACGATATTGCATACGGACAGCGCGCGCGAACGAAGACTGAGGGCTAGCGAGTATGAGAGGGCCAGGGTGGCATCTGTAAGCGCATATTGGAACAAACACTACACGGTCCCTAATTATTGGCATCGCAGAATCTCGAATACGCGCGAAACTCGTTGACAAAGCTTGAACACGATGCGCTCGGCATCAAAGCACCAGGGCGTCGTGTTGAAGTGCAGACAGATTTGAATGGGAAGAGGGAGCTCTTAGAATTGCTGCTGGACAGGCTAGAGGACCTCCGTCAGGTATGAATCGATCGCTTTGGAAAATGTACAATGCTTACGATGTATCAGGTTGCGATTAACGATGACGACGATGACGCAAGCACAGATGGGGAGGACATACTCTCCGAGATAATACCCACGCCGAGCGACAGTATAGTCGATTCGATACCTACAGACTTACAAACGGAAGGCTCAGAACAAAACGAAGATGCAGAACCGGAACCGCCAGAGATAACGCCAGAAGCTATCACCGAGACAAGGCATTCGGCTCCAGCTCCAACTGCACCACCTGAATCACCACCCGAGGTCCCGACTCCTTCAGGACAGCAAGATCCAGAACCCACACAAACAACACAGACACTACGGCCAAGAGGCGCAGCTGCATCAAATACATCTTCAGCGCATTCGACTGCGCGCGCCGCCCTCTTCGCCAACCGTAGCAAGCCTGCAACCGCGCAAACCTCAACAGCCACAGCAGAAGCACTACTAGACCGTCAACGCGCCGAGCAAGATGCCCTCTCAGAATCGATCCTCAAAATGGCAGGAGCCCTCAAATCAAGCTCGCAGCGCTTCTCGAGCACGCTCGACGCGGACAAGGAGGTGGTTGGCCGCGCGGGCGAGGGCATGGACAAGACGGAGCGGGGCATGGAGGCGGCAAGGTCCAAGATGAACACGCTCAAGAGAGGGTCAGGTGGATTCCAGATAATGGGCATGGGCATATTTGGAAAGTTTTACTTTTACTTTCTTTATGTTTGTGTGGGGGTGCTCATGTTCTTGTGTTTTGCCCTGGTGTTCTTTGGGCCAAAACTGAGGTTCTGAAGATGGTTCAGGGGCAGTCTGGTAAAGACTTGTTGAATGGAGTCCATAGGATGTTGGGATAGCGATCAAATGCATCATAATGCAAAATGAAAGATATTGGGAGATTCCCCTGAAGCTATCCTTTATCTCCCGCTGTGTCCCGTGGTCGACCCCGTTCCCCTATATCACATTGCCTATCCCATATGATTCCCCGGAGACATCCCAGAACTCCGTGTAGATCCCGAAATTATGAGAAAGTATTCACCCGTGTGCGACGTTTGATCAAGTGTCGCTGAACATCCCCACCCAGCAACTAACAAAGTCATATCCTCCATGCTCCAACCACCCGTATAGCTCGCTCTTCATGACCTTTACCCGGATTCAGCATCGCCTGTTGAAAAGGCCATATCCTTCGAGTCTTCCGCATCCACAGCGACGTGATGCTCAGGAGGCTGCTCACAGTCACTCTCTTGGCTCTGAGAAGATGGGGCTGTGGATTCTGTAGCGGCGGTGCTGTCAAAGATGGCCGAGATTGGGGTTGACGGTGCATCTTCAACTTCCACATCTCCAGTAGGAGAATGGACTTCTTGAGTAGTGTCCTCATCGACCATGTCGGCATCCTGTCCATCTCCATCATCCTCGTCGCTGGCAGCATCCTCCTCTGCCGCCTCTCCGCTAGTGTGAAAATACGCATTTCCTTCACCTTCTTCATACTCCAAAACGACTTCTGGGTCATCGGATTCTTCAGGAGTCTCAGCCTGGGCCTCCTCAACCGGAGGCCATGGAAGACCTCGTAGCTCAGCGTTGATCTGCTGGCAATACTCGGAATCGAAGCGGAGACGCCTCCCTAGAGGTTTACCACCAGTCTGAACCCAGTCAGCCAACTCTCAATCAACTCTAGTCATACCAAGATGTGAAACTTACTGGGGGCTCATACTGAAAGTACGGGCTCGGCATCGTCATGGCAAGTGTCACTCGATCTTCCCAAGGGACACCAGTCTTGACCCGGAAAAACTCCATGAAGAGATCCATCTGCGGGCGCCACTTGTCTGGGCATACACTTGGCCGATGATAGGTAGGTTGAGAGTTTCCCTTGCGCTTGGTGAATTTGGCAGTGAACCAGTACAGGTGAGGCTTTGCATTGGACTCCCAGAGCTAGTCGAGAAGTTAGTATAGAAAGACTGTAAGTTGATGACATTACTCACGCAGAGTGTATACTTCTGTCCGAATTCACCAGCAGCTTCATCGTCGCGTGTAATGTCAAGCTGATAGACAAAGTTGCTTCGATCTCTGTAGATGTGGTAAAAGTCTGCCATGTATTAGTTTGGGACGTCAGAATACTGAACTGGAACCATACTCGTGTTGACAAACTTTTCGCCATCTCTCTTCCCCCTTTCGATACGTGCTCTCTCGCGTCTCTTTGCATTCTGCTTGGCAAGGATGTTCCTCATGGAAAACTCCTTCTCAGGGAGACGCTTGTTCTTGACGGCCGAGAACTCGAACCAGTCGCAGTGAACAATGTGAAAGCGTTTCCCACGCTTCAACGCATCTTTGACTATGTATCGGTCAGCAGAGCCATATCCAGACGTGAAGTGTGACAAGACAAAATGTCAAGCTACATACCCCTAGGAACCCTCTTGTCAAACTGTTCTCTGGTGCAGAGCAGGTGAGTGACATCTTCGTCAAAGTAATCAACAAAGTCGCCCTTGCGGATTGAGGCCCATCGCTTCAAGTTTTCAACTGTCAACTGTCCTGGGAGAGGACCTGCCGCGGCGAGGACACGGCCCTTGAAGATTTGAGGAGGCATCGTGTGGGTGATTGTCTGTTTAGAGCGATAGAATTGATAGGCGATGAGGAATTGGGAGAAGAAGTGATTCAAGGATCAATATTTGTAATAATGAAGAGAGGAAATGGAGAGGATGAACGGCGAGAGAAGGGCAGATGAAAGAAGGAAAAGAAGAAACAGAGGAAAGCTTTGGAGTTGTCAAGGAGTGTTTGGAAGGGTAGACTCGGAGGTGGTTCAGAGATGTTGTGGAGATAGGTTGGTGTTGCAACCCATGAGTAAAGGAGCAGCAGCGCAACTCATGTAAAAACGGTTTACCATGACAAGGAAAGGAGTGTCCGAACCAGAAAAATCAGAGGGAACAGCCCACCCTTCGACCGAGCTTTGGAGCCTTGGACACAGAAGCTTGATGAGTCTCCTTTCTTCTTATTTGAAGCACCCGTAGACATGCTTTGCTTTTATTTAACCATCTATCGAATTTCTTTTGCCGCCTTGATAAAGGCAACGATCTTATCCAAACTTTGCTTTCCACCTTCTTCCACACCACTGCTCACATCGACGCCAATCACTCGCTCAGCCAGAGGTCCCAAAGCCTTGACAGCCTCTGCCACATTGTCAGGGTTCAAGCCACCAGCCAGGAAGACCCGGAGCTCGGGGTCCTCCTCAAGGACTGTCTTGACCTTCGAGACATCGAGAAGCTTGCCTGAGCCAGAGCCTGAGTCAAGCAGGGGGATGGTGTGATATCCACGACGGCCGACACCAACTTGGCCAGGCTTGAAGCATCGGATGACAGGCACAGGGATGAGGCTTGCCCACTCCAGGGGCTCCTCGCCATGGAGTTGCACCAGGTCGAGGTCATACTGCTTCTGCTTCTCCAAGACCTCGCTCAGGGGTTGGTTCTGGAAAATACCAACGAGCTGAGTCCGAGGGCTTCTGAGTCTAGCAGAGGCGGCAGCAAAGAAGTCTCGGGCCTTGTTGTCAACTTCTGCCACCTGAGTTTCGTACTTTTGCGTGCTAGAGTACGAGTGCACGGCTTCTGAGATCGCAAGAGCAGTCTCGTGGGAAATGCATCTCTTGGCACCTGGGACAAGGCATATGCCTACAAAGTTGGCTCCGGATTCGGCGGCCTTGAGTGCGGCCTCGGCACTCCGAGTACCGCAAATCTTGACGGAGAGGGAAGAGGGGACGTCTGTGGTAGCCGGAGGCTCAGATCCTGAGCATAGTTGGCTGATGAAGACACTGGCATCAGGGGCCCTCATGATGGCCTCACCAACTAAGACAGCGTTGACACCATCCTTCTTGTTCATCAAGACATCATCATGGGTGTTGATGCCGCTCAAAGCGCAGATGATGGTGGTTTCAGGAACCATGCTTCGCAACCGGCCAGTGGTGTTGAGGTCAACTTCGAAGCTTTCCAAGTTGCGGTTGTTGACACCAATGGCCTTGGCACCAAGCTTGACTGCTGTTGTCATCTCCTCTGCATTTTGAACCTCAACAAGAGGCTCCATTCCGAGGGAGAGGGAGTACTTGTACAAGCGTTCCAACAACTCGGTCTCGAGCATCTTCACGATAAGAAGGACAGTATCGGCACCGGCCAATCGCGCCTCAAGGATTTGATACTCATCAAAGATGAACTCCTTTCGGAGAATCGCAGGTCGGTTAGGCATGCCATCCAAGACCTGTCGAACAGCTCTCAGATCTTCGATGCTGCCCTTGAACCACTCGGGCTCAGTGAGCACCGAAATGACACTCGCTCCGGCCAAGGCATACTTGCGAGCCTGCGCGGGTGCACATATGTCCAGGGCAAAGATACCCTTGGACGGAGATCCACGCTTGATCTCGGCCATGAGGGCAACGTCGAAAGGAGACTGTCGTAGCCGGCTAACAAAGGGGATCTGTGGAGGGGCGGCGTTGAGATCGTAGGCAACTTGAAGATCCTGCATTCTCTGGGAAGGAATCTGCTTTTGGGCTTCAACAGCAGCCTTTCGGTTTGCATAGATTCGCTGCAGGATGTTGTTCTTCTTGGGCTTAGGGGCCTCCGATTCCTTCTCCTTGGCGGCGGCGGCTTTCTGGAACTCGGCGTTCTCCTCCCAGGTGCCTCCTTGCATGCGAAGAAAGTTGGTGATCATGGCCCGTCCACCTTCAGTCAAGATACTCTCAGGGTGGAACTGAACACCCTCAATGGTGTACTTCTTGTGACGGACACCCTGAATGACACCAGGGGAGCCATCAGGCTTGGCAACCCAAGAAGTGACTTCAAGCTCATCGGGCAAGGTAACGTGGGTGCCTGCAAGAGAATGGTAACGAGTGACTGGTACACCTTGGTTGAGGCCAGCAAAGACACCCTTGGCATCATGAGTCAAAGGCGAAGTCTTGCCATGAAGCCACTCCCCAGCTGAGCTGACTTCTCCACCATAGACATTGAAGATGCATTGCCTGGAAAGAATTAGGGGAATGATCTCTGAAAATAATGAGATAACCTACAAGCCCATGCAGACACCAAAGATGGGGAGCTTGCCCGCAAAGTGGCGGATAACATCGCGACTCACTCCAGAGTCGGACTCGGGATGACCAGGTCCAGGACTGATGATGATCTGTGTAGGCTTCTTGGCAACCAATTCCTCTACCGTAACCTTGTCATTTCGATAGACAGTAACCGTAGCACCGGCAAGAACGAGGTATTGGTAAATGTTCCAGGTGAAAGAATCGTAGTTGTCAATGAGGATGAGGTTGGAAGCTGTTGGGATGGGAGGCGAAGGGTCCGCTTGGTGCGGTGAGTGATCAATGATATCTGCAGAGCCCATTTTGAACACACGAGGAAGGAAGAGTTCCTTGAGAGCCTTATCCTCGATTTAAAGCCTGTGTCGAGGTTGAGAGGCGATGTTTGGTGAAGGTGACTCAGTGCAGCTGCAACGGGTGAGTGAGTACTTATGAATCAAAGAAGTTGTGAAGGTGCTTCCATTGTGAAATCCGACCGTCTAAAACTGTGCATTGACACTGTGTTATAGTGCTGAGGAACAATCATAAGGACAGTGCGCATTTCTGCCTTCTAGACCGATTGAGCTCCGATAGCCAGGCGCCACTAGAAAATCGGCTGAACTCCGGCGTCTCAGCTCTGGAGCTCTCCCAAAAAGTTGACCTTGTCTCGCCCAGCCCCAGGTGCAAGCTTCATCGCGATCAGGCGCGTCAACAACCACCAAACTTCGCATCTCACCCCATTTTCTAGGTGATGCAGCATCGCATGCCACTGTCGCCTTTTTGACGCTCTCTGCAATGGCGTCGGTGGCCGATCGCATCTATTTTCCCTCCCTGGAGCAATGTCTGACTGGGGAGCGGGTGCTTCTGTAAGTTGCATCTTTCTTTCTTTGCGGCCATCTATTTGCTGCCTATGAGAATGTCAATAAACATGCCGCTGACCTCCAACACAGCTCTTGGAAGCTCATCGCCACTGCGCTTTCCGATAGCTCTGGACAGCGAACAGCTAGTTCGGCCGTTATTCAGTTTTTGAGCGACGATTTTGTCCACCGCCTCCTGGACGATCCAGCCAGTACCTTTGCACCGCCGAACGATGCCACCCACAAAGATTTCGATACCAAGACTGCCCCGATCCATGTGCCTGCGAGCCCGGACGGCCGATTCGATATTGATTCGATCAAGAAGGATGCGACATGGCTCAGCAAGAATGCCAAGATCAACTTGGTTGCCGCCTTGCGCATAGTTATTGTCGAGTACCAGTCCCGTCCTGCTAGCCACCTCATGGGACCGCTTTCATCTCAGGATGCTACGAATCTGCAAGAGGCTGCTGGACTTTATAATGGCCAAGGATCGGCATTTTTGTTGGATTTAGGCTCAGCGTCTGCCCTGGACGCCGATGAGATCTGGACCGAGTTTGAGAAGCCCGAGACGAGGCAGCGACGGCTGTTTAACATCTACCTCTCCGAGCGCCGGTATTTCATGATGTCTGCGGACTACGCCAACTCGATCAAGTTGTACGAACGGTTGCCGACGTTCGCCAATGTCAACCTTGACTTGGCCAAAACCTTTCGACTTAAGTTGCCTGCGCGAGACGATGCGGAACCACTTCTGCCGACCTATCTTCAAGTCTTGACGGATGCGATGAAGCTCATTGAGTCTGGACTGAGTTCTGTGACGGACGAGAAATGGGTGACCGAAGATGTGGAATTGGACTGGCTGAGGACGCTTCTCACCGAGGCTGTCCACGCTCTGTCTGTAGTCTTTCAAATCGTCGACAGCTTTGACGGCGAATTTGCGCCATCCAGCGCGGTTAACCAATGGTTCACTTTGATGGAGGTCTATAGGTTTTTTGACGCCGTCCAACCGGTTTGTGTGAGCCAACCTTCCTTGAGAAACAGTTCTAATTCTGGTACAGATACACGAGAGCATCGCCCCTTTGGTGTTGCCCCTCAAGACACTTTCAGTTGCTGTGTCCCTAATCTTGCTCAAGCCCGCCAGATCTTTGACTTACCTTTCCGAGAGAGAGGAGGATGCTACTCAAGCTGATACTACCTATGACACATATCTGCTCTCCTCCGATGTTCTTGAGCAAGTTCACAAGAGCATTATGAATGCAGCTGAAGCCGACTGTGAGAGCGCCTCACCTGTTATTTTCGCTTGGACCCTACTTTTGCACCGCATGAATGTCTCCTACCAGAGTAGGACAGAGAAGCGGGACAATCTCCTCCAACAAAATGCCCGAGAAACCTTTGAGGCTGGTGGTGTCATTCGCCCAGTTGCAAGGCGCAATTCAGCGGGCAGTATCTTCTCAATCGAGTCGTCCAAGTTTGACAGCTTTCTTGAGAATTCAACCACCTCCAAGGATCTTGTTGTGGTTGAGCAGCTTGCATCGGCTGTTACAGCTCGAGGCCGTGTCTTTGATGTCATCTCAACCATGACTTCAGGCTTGGGCCCTTCAGATGAAGGCAGCATGACGCCTTTGCTTAGCTCTCGCATTCGGAATGTCTTTTTGGAGCTTCTGAAAGTATCATACCCCGTCATTGGCTACCAGTCTGAGCCTGTGAGCTCGTTGCTCTCCGTGCTTGGCGCCGGCCGCAGTTATTGGGATATTTCAAACCACGAGAACCTCTCAGAAAAGCAGGATATACTTGCATCGATGCTCAACGACGACCTTGCGCTCGAGTTCTTCTTCCAGCAAGCACTCGACAGATACCCCTACGAATTCCTCCCCTTCATTACCCTCTGCCGAACATTGGCGAGCGCTACTAGTCTTCAAGACAGTGAGCGATCTCAGCTGATTCTCAACCTTCTCCGCGTCACACCGACTCTCACATTCGTACTGCCCGAGACCTTCCAGGAATATGAGCTGGTGCAAGAAGACGAGAACACCAATGCTTTCTGCCTGCTCCAGGACATTCCCCTCATCTCTCTATCGCCATCTTGGCGTGGAAGACGGATCGAGGATGACGCATACCGGATACCCGCAGGAACCTACGGACGATTTGTTACCGACACTGGCCGAGTTGTCTCGATGGAGTATCCTCACTCGACCATTTCACTTTTGGGCCGACGGCTTGAGATTAGCCTCATGAAAGAGGGCTATCAATCTGAACTTGGCATGCTCCAGCCGGATGAAACCGCCGAGGTCATTGCTCTGTTCGCAACTCTCATCCGTATGGATTATTTGAATGCTACGAGGGAGGGCTCTACTGAGGCCCTGGTGTCTGCCGAGAACGACATCCTGCTCGAAGCAAAGAAGCACATTGATGCAGGAAGTGGCAGAGACCTCCTGACGGTCGTTTGCGAAACCATGGATTACTATATGCAGGTCGACTTGGCGGAGAGCGAGGATGTAGTTGTGGCCATCCTCAACTCCTGTATCCAATTCCTGGACGCCATTCTGCCTATCTATCCCAGCCGAGTATGGTCTTACCTTTCCCGGTGCGAGTTGCTGAGCTCCGAATCTAGGGCTGGCAAGCTCACCAAGATTATCGGAAGCCTGGATCTCGTTCAGGAGAGGTTTGACTTCCTGTCGTCCTGCCTTCGTCTGTTCTCTAATATGATCGATACCGCATTAACATCGGCCGTTCAACGACGAGCTGGCATCCAGACCATGGGCCGAAAGAAGACGGACCTCAACCCCTGGCTTGGCACTGCTGACAAGGTGTTATCCAAGGTTAGCTATTCGATTGCCCAGGCAGGAGTTGACATCTTTGAGAACACATCTACTTGGAGATTCGCCTCTGACGCCTGCCGCTCGTCGATTCTCCGAGACGTTGTGCCTGTGCTACACAAGGTGATTCTGCACAGCTATAGCCTCGGCGACTCTTCGAGCTCTGAGAACCTAACCTCTTGCCTCCGACCTGCTGCTACCTACGTTCTGGATTCATTCATCTCCCCCTCCACAGGGTCGCTGAGGTTCCAGCCTCTACTCTCATCTCTCGTTGCCGCCTTCACTTCGAGTGATAGCACGCTTTATCCTAGGCGTACGGACATGATCCAGTCTCAACTCAGCTCCGTCTTGGAATTCTCGGCAACACTCTTGCGGGTTGCCAACCATCTTGAACAGTCATCGAACATGATCGAGTCTTACCTCTTTAAGAGTTCTACCCTGCTTGCGCGCCTTTGCGCAGCGTCTGATCATTTCCGACGACCGACTATGTGGCTGCTGGAGTCCCTGGTGGTGAACGCAGGCAAGGCATCAAACGAGCCCCCGTCGCTGCTCGGATATCTTGGTCCCCAAATCTCCAAGTCATTCTTGCAGCTTCTTGCAACTCTGGGCAAGCCATTTGAGTTGACCAAAGACGTGAAAGCTACTTGGAAGTTCTTTTCGGCTATCTTGAGAAATCGACAACAGTGGATGTCTAACTGTCTTCTCACGGGTCAGACGCCAAGAGAGGCAATGAAAAAGGACAACAAGAAGACGGAGATCTCCTCCGACTCTGTGTTTGCGACAGCACTTGCACGACTTGGAAAATTGAAGGAGCTCCACGTGAACGAATCCATCGTCGTCCTTGACTTTGTTGCTTCGGCCCAGAACTTCTGGCCCTGGACCGTCTTCACACTCCAAAAGGACACAGCCTATCTGGATGGCCTGCGAGCATATGTCCGCGACCTGAAGCCATCTAACGTCACCGTCAAGACGGACGCTGTCCTTGCCAGCTTCGAGGCAAGATTGGCCGCCTACGTTGCCGAGACTTTTGCCATGCAGCTTTACCATTCACGCCACTTGGGCAATTCTAGCGCTCTGGCAAAGAGTCTGGTTAGCGATCTCGACTATTACCTACGCGACGGAGTTGAAGTTGCTGGCTACAACAAGTCTCTCCACAACAACTTTGCCAAGAACTTCTCCAACAAATACTCTGGCTGCCCAGTGGCCGACTTCAAGCGAACCTCGCTGGAGCCGCGAGAGCTGGGCAAGAGCTACTATTACGACCTGGAGCGTGCCGATGAGATGCTTAGGTTTGATCCTGGCTGGAAGGGTCGCAAAGACGATGGCTTCAAGGCGGAGATGGAGCGTGCAAACACAAACCTGTCACTAGTTGACGCTCAGCTTGTAAGTTTATATGATGCCCAATTTGTGACATAACTAACTCTATTGCTAGGCCCTTTTCCACGCCTGGGAATTTCTTCTTGTGGAGCTTAGCTCATGCCTTCCTGACAATGACATGGTTGCGAAGCAGATGTTGCAGGTTGCACAGCAGTGTTTGAATGCGAACCAAGGGATCCCTGGACCCGAAAGCATCTTCCTCAAGCTTGTCGAGTCCCGTGCCAACCTTGCGCTGGTTCTGATCCAGCGTCTTGTCAAGTCTTCCATACCAGTCAAGGACATTAACCAGCTTCTATCGACTCTAGTTGGCACAGTCAACGGAGTTGAAGAACCTTTTGGACCCGACTCAATTTCATACTACCGGACCTTGCTGAAGGCGCTCTTTGTCACACTCCGTGCTTACCATACCACGGGAACCAAGGGTGACACTCACGATGCGTTTGAGGGAACTACGGTGACTGTAATGCAAACCGTCCTGAACATCCTCGACCGTGTTGTTGGAAGGGGCTTCCGTGCATTGGTCAGCCTGATCCACGACAACGAGGCGACGGTGGCACCCGAAGACCTTGCTCTGTTGACGGCTATCCTGCAAGCTTGCCTGAGTCTGCCGAATATGGACCAATCGCAAACCCAGGTTCTCAACATCATGTCGGAGCACCGGGCTCTCCACGCCGCTACATCCTTGTATTCGTGGGCGGATAGATTGGCAGACCAAGGCGACCCCATCTATGGCGAGCTCAGCATGATCTTCCTCCTCGAGCTCTCAGCGCTGCCATTGATTGCTGAGCAGATGGCGTGTGACGGAATTCTGAGCAACATCCTATCAGCCAACTTGACCAAGTTCATGCTGAAATCCAACCTCTCCCCTTACTCGGATTCTCCTGCGGTACAACGTTGCTTCGGCATCTGGTCCAAGGGACTTTTGCCCTTGATGCTGAACTTGTTGACGGCTCTGGGCGCTACTGTCGCTCCCGAGATTGTATATGTGCTCAACGAGTTCCCTCATCTGTTGGAGTCAAGCGTGGACCGCTTTGAGGCGCCTGGTGCAAGCCGCACACAATCAAGAGCGTCACCGCATTACCTGACATTGGTGGCTATCTCGGAAGTGCACTCGTTGGCTCTTCTTACCAAGGTGCTTGCCGCTCTCCGGGTCAACAATAACCGTGACATTCCCGATGTTGAGTGGGATTCAGCAACTCTGTTGGAAAACGTCGACTTTTGGCTCAGCACAAAGAAACTCTTGAAAGAGAGACTCATGCCATTGGGCCAGCGAGAGATTGATTGGCGTGGCATGAAGTCGATCACGGGCACGTACGACAGTCTCTTGGAGGAGAAGGCAGTGGCTCAACTGGATGCTATCCGAGACGTGCTCAGCGATGAAGCAGAGGGTTGAATAAGGGGATGACTTGGACTCGAGGACGAGAGTAGAGGAGGACAAGAACGATTGTTTATGGTGATGTAAAGTACTAGTATCATAGGTCAAGGGCGTTGGAAACGGGCCGAATGCGTTGTGGAAAGACATGCAAGAGATATTGTTTTCGTATCTACCTTACTCGATGAAAGACGAGAAAAGCGTTGCCACGGAGGATTGGCTGAGTTTTTAATGATGTCATATTTTTTTTCAACCTAGAATGGCTTCAGTGAGTTTGAAATGAGATGAATGGATGGCAGCATTATTCGTTAGCTGAGTAGAAACGGGGTTATTGATTCCCAACCCGAGCGAGGAGGAACATCTCCTTTCTATAACCCAGGATAATATACAAGTACAGCTCGGTGTTGGTGCGACAAGAGCATGCCATGCGTTGGCTCACCATTCTCTAGATGGTAGCGTCCTCCCTCTGGCATCATGGAAAAATCGCTTGGTTTAGACATCCGACACCATATAGTCAGCCGCAGCCAGAGTTTTCCTGCATCTTTTCCCCCAGTCGATCCATAGTCATACACACGTCAATTCTTTAAAAAGTCCCCTCCCTCGTCCATGCTCGACCGTCGTTCTTTTTGCCGGTTTACTTGTTCATCTGGGCCGTAAGCTGGGCGTTGTGCTCCTGGAAGCGGTCGCTAATGCGCTGCTGGGAGGCCATCCACTTTTGAACGCAGCGGTTGATGCAGCCGCTCTCCCGGGATGAGATGGCCTTGGAGGTGAAGTCGTCGACGCAGGACATGAAGCAGTGCTCAACGAGACCACCGAAAGCCTAGATTGGCGAAAATGTCAGCTTCTTCTGGATCTTGAGTGTTGCAGAGGTGCAAAACATACGCCCATAAACTCCTTGACTTGTCGCTTCTGCATGCGCTGCTCAAGAGTGCGCTGCTCGGCGGCGGTTAACCTGTCGTGAGGGAAGCCCTGATCAGCATTGTTTTTCGACGACCGAGACTGTGACTTTGAGGAATTGAGACGAACATATCCATTGTGGCGGTCGGAGGGGGGGATGCGTGGCTATGGTGGGTTCTGGGAGGTGGCCGTCGTCGTTGTCGTCGTCGATGGAGATTGAAATTTTGAAGTCCGCCGCCATCCACGGGCTAGAGATAAGCTCGGGACTCGGGCGGTTTGGGGCCTTATCGGCGGGATCGCATTATCGTTTTACCCCAGATTCAGCCAACCACACTCCGTCATACGTCAGGTACCTGGACGGACAGACGTAGCTTCGTTCAAGACAATTGTACTACGAATTACTCGGGGATAATTTCTTGTGAATATTTAACCAAATCAGGTACTGCATCATTCTTGGGCTACATCATGCATGCGTTGAACTTTCTAGATGCAATGCTGTGCTCTGATGCGCATGTCTTGAAGTAAAGCTTCCTCCGTTACTGGCCGGAGCCTCGTAAAACGCTGTGTAACGGGGAAAAGGACCGCATCCATGGCAATACTAGAGTTGAATACATGAAAGGAATGACATGAAATGATCCTTAGTTATGAAACCAGAGATTGATGATTATTTCCCACTGTGGAATGCTTTGTTTCATTTTTTCTTGATTATTCTTGCTCACACCGAAGATCTGGACTGATGTTTCTCCTGGTGCGCCACACATCGAATAACCGTACTTGAGTCATCAGAACCAGCAGCCCGGTACAGCATTGATAAGCATGACGGATTACTATTCTAGTACTCTCGACTTGCTGAAGGCAAAAAAAGATGAAACAACTGATCGGCAGGGTTCCCGGTCTGATGATGGCAGTTGCGGCTCGGTAGTGGACGGAGAACTCGTGTTTGATGGGTGAGCTAGCGGGCAACGTCTTCGAAGCTGGCATTGGATGGATGGCGGAGGGGGAGGGGGAGGGGGGACGACTGACGTGTGATACTGCATCCCGCAAACAGTAACAGTCCGTGAGGAGGCCAATGTCCAATTTTGGAAACTTGGAGGGGATCCATGATGAATGATGTTCTATCAGTCTGTACTCTGTAGAACCTGATAACCACGAGGAAGCATGGGTTATCTGAACTGGTGTAAGCTTACAGTTTATACCCATCTTCACATCTCTTATCCCCATATTCCATAACCATCAACTCGTTGCACAAAAGCAAAGCCTCGAGGGGAAATCTTGGTCCTGGCTAGGGGACCCTGGATCCTGGTCCACCAAGGATGAGGTGCTGATCGAGTCGAAATGAAATGGCGTCGATATGGGCTGCGGCCCTGCAGATGGGCTAAAATTAACAAAGCCCTGTCTTCCTGTTTTCCCTCACCGTACCTAGCGGCACAGACAGTTAACAGCATACCTACCATACATAAACCAGGTTTTTTTTTTGCAGATGGATGTGTTCGTATAGCTACAGAGCTTGGGTTGCAGTAGTGGTTTCAGCTCGAGCAACCAGGGGGGAGTAATGTCCTGATGATGAGATGCTTTGTCAATCTCTTGTAAATCTTGAAATCTCGCAAGCGATTTTCCCGTATCCAACAAGGCAAGTTCTCTCATCTCAGTGTACCATGTGCTTGTATGTAACTGTACCTCGCCTGCTGTGGGGGTCCCATCAATCAATGACCTCTGCCCTACGGCGGGAGAGCTTCCAAGGTTGGATCCTGGCAATCTCCATGGTCCAACAACCACTCGCATTCTGCTGGTCCTGGGCCGCTACTGTAGGTAGGAGCGGGATCCACTAATTGGGACCTTTGGGTTGTTGCATTGGATTCTGGGTAGGGTGAACGTTTGCGGCCTCCCACGATGTGCATTGGATCCATTGTCAATATCAACATTGGTCTCATAGGATACTCCCGTAGATATACGGAGGCCATCACCAACTCTGTCTGTCCGATTCAACACGGTAGTTCTTCCACATAATGTGCATCCTCTACTCGTAATGTGACAAGAGTCTCGGGTTCATCAATTCCGCCCCAGGCACGCGTGAGGCTGGATTCCTTGGCCGTGGGGTTAGAATAGAAGCCCAGTAACTGTAAATGCACGGAAACCCCGCCGCCCACTTCCCTTTCCACTGCAACACAGTCAGAAAGCCTCATCTGGGCATCCAGCTAAACTAAACCTCCACTGGAAGGAGAGGTCAGCTTTGCCGGGGGAGGGGGATGGAGGCTTCAAATGCCTGAGCTGCTGCATCCACTTTTGAATCTCACCTTTTTTTCTTTTTTCTTTCCCCTCTTCTTGTTCAGCTGCTGCTGTTTGTCCCTTCGTTCGATTACATCGTCCATTCGCTTTCTTGACAAGTGGTACCCTCTGCTCCAGCGTAAACCGGCCCTGTCAACAAGTACCTCGTGTCTGACCCCCCGCCCACACTTACATTTGCTTGCTGCTTGCTGGCCTGACATCCACCATCGCCCGACACCTCAGGCCCTGCTCGCTGACGGACGGTACCTACATCATTCATTGCCCTCCATCCCGTCGCCCAGCTCAGCTCAGCCCAGCCTCTTTGGCCTTGCAACCAACCTTTTCTACCAACGGAAACAAACTTGGCTGTGCAAAAGAGTTACTCTCGCTGTCAATAATTCCCGTCTCCATCCCTTGACTGCCCCCTCGGGTTCCTCCACTGCTTATTTGAGTCGCTCGCTCTGTTAAAGCCTTATCCCACCCCCCGGACTCTCTACCACCTAAAGGTCCAGGTACTTACGGACAGCTCAGGTACTCCTACGGCTGGACTGTTGCTACTGGAGCTCCCTGCCCCGAGTCCCCCGCCTCACAATTCTTTAATCTTACTCCCTCTCTCGTTCTCCATGCCGCGGGCTGCTCCTCTATCGCGCGACAACCATCGACTTGAACGATAATCAGCGCTCTCGTCAGCTTCAGCTTCTTTAACCTCTATACACGCCCGTGCCGGTCGCCTCTCCACCACCCATCGTCCCGCTCTGCGCGCGTTTGTCCCGGCTCCTCTCTTTCCGCAGCCCGTGCCTCACCCCAAACCAAAGGTGGTAGCCCAGCCCAGCCTTGACGCCCTAACGCCTTGCCTACCGCTGTCACGCCCTTGACGCTGCCAATCATCGACCGATCCCTCAACTGGCGCCCACAGAGTCGTCCTCGACTCCCTCGTTTGAGCTCCAGCTCTGCTCTGCTCTGGGCTTCTGCCTTCTAGCTTCCTGACTTGCAGTCTCTCATCATTCCGTGCAATCGAAATCGACTTCGACATCCTCCCTGACGGCCCGACTCGACTCGGCCCCCCTCCAACGCTGTCGACGGGTTACTGCTAAGCGCTCATCCTCGTCGCCGTTGCCCTCGACTGAGATCGAGGGGCCATCGTGACTCAGGCAACTGGGCCGGCCCAGCTGTAGCGTCGTCGCTCTTCTCCTCCTCCTCGCCGTCCTTCTCCTCCTTCGCACGCGCAGCCGTTCGTCATGACGTCCGCCGCACCCAACCCGAACCAGGCCAACCAGCCGCCTCAGCTTCAGATCAACAATGCCACATCGCCCCCGAACAGACGCGATCTCAAGTCATGGTGGAAGGGTTTCAAGCTGCCCTCAAAGCATCAGGATCCCCAGGGTATGCTTCCTCCTATCCCATCACCTTTTGCGCAACGTCGTCTAGCTCCCGGTCGTGTCGTCCCAATTCGATCGTCTTGCTTTCACTCCCCGCGACGTTGCGCCAAGTTAGCTATACCAAACATCTTTGGTGATGCTCTTCATGATGGATCCAGTCGCTTGCATCAAGCGATGTGATCTTCTGAATCAAGGAACCGTCAAACGCGCACACGCCCCTCACCTCATTCGCTTGGTGTCTAACAAGAGCTTTCAGAAACCAGATCACAAGGCATCTTTGGTGTGCCTCTACGGCAGAGCATAACATATGCCAACGTCGCTATCTCCCTCATCGACGAACATGGGAAGAGTTACATTTACGGCTATGTCCCCATAGTCGTCGCAAAGTGTGGCGTCTTTCTCAAAGAGAAGGGTAGGTGGATATGGTGGGCTTACCTCAAAGGATCTTGCTGACACTATCGCCAGCCACTGGTATTGAGGGTATCTTTCGTCTGAGCGGCTCGGAAAAGAGAATAAAGGAGCTCAAAACAATCTTCGATTCCCCCGATAGATACGGCAAGGGTCTCGTCTGGGATGGTTACACAGTTCACGATGCCGCAAACGTCCTACGGCGATATCTCAACGACCTCCCCGAACCTGTTGTTCCTCTCGATCTCTACGAAAAGTTCCGCGACCCCCTCCGAGGCGCCACGAAACAGGCTGTTGGCGACCTGGAAGGTCCTCAGTTCGTCGACAACTTTAACGAAAAGGCCGCTATCGAGAGGTACCAGCGGCTCATCACCGAGCTGCCTCCCTTGAACAGACAGCTGCTCCTCTACATCCTTGATCTTCTTGCAGTTTTCGCTGCCAAGGCAGATGAGAATCGCATGAACTCGCAGAATCTCGCAGCCATCTTTCAGCCTGGTATGCTGTCTCACCCAGCTCATGCCATGGCCCCCGAGGAGTATCGACTGAACCAGTGTGTCATTATTTTCTTGATTGAGAATCAAGATCACTTCCTTATTGGCATGCAGGGTACTGCTGCTGATGAGAAGACCAAGAAAGAGGTGGAATCTGGCACTCCTAGTGCACCCCTAACTCCCAACCCGAACCGCACCTCCAGCTTGGACCGATCCGCATCTAACGCAAGTGCCGGTGCAGCCAGCGTGCGACGAGATGGAAAACTCAGAAGGAATCGATCCGTGTCGTCAAGGAACTCAAGGAACGACGGAACTTCGACTCCCAACAGCCCTGCCCTGACAGCGACCCCGACGACAGGTGGGCTGGCCAGAAGTAACACCGTTCCATCCAAGAAGTCGCCAGCATTGGCTGGTGGACGTTTCCAGAGGCAAGATGGCTCAGGTCCTCGCTCCCCGGCTCACTTGGAACCCTTGACGCAGTTGAATGCCGGTGAGAGTGTTGATCAATCTCCCCAGTCAACGCGTTCGACCGATATCAGCGGTAGCGGTCATCTCACACCTACCCGAGCTCCGGTGACAGGCCGCAGCCAAGAGAGGCTACTCGATGTGCCCCAAGAGGCTCCTACACCCACTAAAGAACGAAATCTGCCTAGCATCTTCCGAGGATTGCCGTCAGATAGTGGCAGGCAGCCTAACAAGCTGAAGAAGAAGCGGATACCTGGCAGCCTGAACCCAAGCGCACATAGCTCCAGCGCCTCGTTGTCGTATACCCACCAGACCGCAACCTCCCCTAACTTCGAGCTACCCAATCCGATGGAACATCCACAGCAACACGAACAGGAGCAACATCTGTTGTCACAACAGCCGCAATCGCAGACACCAGCGCCGATTCAAGAAGAGAGGCATCGCGAACACCTCGAGCAACAACAAGATCGACTCCATGGACTACAACACCCTCAAGAGACTCAGCTCACTCCTCCAGCCTCTCTGGTGCAGCAGAAGAGCGATGTCTCTTCAGAACACACTCCAAGGGCATCTCAGGCATCTTCGAATCAAAGTCTTCATCCTGACAACACGTTGAAATCGAAGAAGTCGCCACCGACATCCCTGCACTCGTCTTTCAATGAGGGGTCGGATCTGGACCAGGTTCTCGATGAGCAGTCCATCACCACCATTGAACAGGCCGAGAAAGAAAAGAAGAAGCGATGGCGATTGTCGAGAAGTAAGAATGCTGACAATGGCGCCTCAACACCCTCTGGGTTGACTTCGCCACGCATGGTTCTCGGAATCAACGAGAACGCTGACGTGAGCAACCTGTCGATCTCAAGCTCAAGCCATCGTCCCCGGAAAAGCGAGAGTTCCGACCGACCCGTCATGATTGGTGATGCGCACAGCAGTTTTGATTCAGGTCGGGACAACGATTCCAAGGGTCCCATAGGATGGATCAGGAACAAGTATCGCGAGGCAAAGGAGAGCGCCGACGCGAGGAGGAATAAGTCTCCTCCCGCTGATCGTACCAACTTGAGCGCGACAAGCTTCTCACCCCGTGGGAAGAGTTTGGATATCAAGCGAGACGGGCCTAGGGAGGGCGAGAAGCAGGCTTCTAGCCCTCCGGCACAGCATGCTTCCCTTGCGGCCGCCCCAGCCGCTGCCTCAACTATCGCCGCTGCTGTTGGCCCGACTTTTGCTCCGGCCCCTAGTGCAGCTCCTGTTCCTCAACCAGCCACCATTACGCTGGTGAACCAAGGTCCTCAGCAGCAGCCCCGACCGTCGCAAACTCAGGCCCAACCTAAGCCTCCATCCCCGCAGCAATACCAGGCCCAAGCTCAGCATCAGTCCAAGCCGCAGCCTCAGCCCGAGCCGCAGCCTCAGCACGAGCCTCAGGTTCAACAACAGCCCCAGCCTCACCAGCAGCAGCCCGTCTCACCGCCTGCACCTCAACCCGCGGTAACCCAGACCTCTGCTCCAGCTCCGGCTCCAGATCCAGCCCCTGCCCCCGCCCCAACTTCGGTACCAGCTGCAGCTCCGGCTCCTCAGTCACCACAGCCGAAGGAACCCCAAGATCTGCCCCAGCCCCAACCTGAACAGCAACAGGAGAAGAAGCCGGAAGAGAAGCCAGTTCAAGTGTCTGAGCAACCGCAGTCGCCACAGACACAGCCTCCACACCCACAGTCGGAGCCAACGAAACAGGAGCAATAGTATGAGGGCGACATTTCAATTTAGACTGGGAAAGGAGTCGAGGTGAGGAGGGGATATGGGAGTGATACCACTTTATGAATTTGTCACAGGGGAGGAAGGAGTAGGAACTGGACGGGACGGGACGATGATGATGGAGGACGACATGTGGGCGGCGGGTTCATCGACAGGACCCGTGTCTGCCCTTTCTGCCACCCTTATAGTCGATTACATGTGTGTAATGTAGCCCGGTGTGAGGTGAGTCTTATTTTCGTTTAAGCGGGTGGAGGAGTTACAATTTAAAGGAGTATGGGTCGTTATAAAAGAAAGATTCGGATTATCCATCAATGATGATACTGTTCATGTGTCGAGCTCGGTGAAGTGTATAGTATAACCAACTTGTGATCTTGAGAAGTACATCCAATATCAGTACAAGGGGAGCTATATAAGCATGCCTTGATATCTCTTACGCCTTTTCAGGTGGCGCGTTGTCATATACTCCCGTGTCCCAGACAATCATCTTGCCTGCACGTCGCCAATCCTCATTGAAGAAGCCGTTGAAGCCCCCCCAAACTTGACGAATCTTGGACAAGCCGAGAGTCTGTGCCTCTGGTGTTTTGATAAACTCATCTAGCCAAGGCTCGATACCCTCAAAACCGACAATGTAGCGAGGCACTGGGAGGGGCAGGACCGGGCTGAATAATTCTGTTGTGAGGAAAGGAATGGGGTTGTCGTAAAAGCGATCGGCCTCGTCGCGGTAGTTTTCTCGTTCAGGGGTATTCGGCTGAGTATGCAATGGGGGTTCGCATGTGAGGGCGTAGGCGCGCAGGCCAGGGTAGACAAGGTGTGAGCGCCAGGGCGTAGAGTGGCAAGGCATGAGGAAGAGGGCAAAGAGCTCCTCCTCTTCATCTGGGGGCGAGGAGAAGCGTGTAGTTTGAGCGAGCTTTACCGAGTCTGGATGAATGCGCTCATACTCATGGCGTAGGTACGAGAGGACGCTGAGAGGAGCAGGCTGGTGTAGGAAGGAGAGGTAGCCGGCAAGGAAGATGTTGATGCCCAGGGCAGCGAGGAGATAGGACTTGTTGCGGATTTGAGGGCGAGGATGGGGGTTTTTGGTGATGGGAGCGGGCTGTGAGGTGAAGAAGGAAGCGGCATATGGAGCAGCGAGAATGCTAAGCGCTGGGAGGAGGGGATAGATGAAGCGGACCTCCTTGTGAGAGATGACCGAGAGAGCGCCAATGGTGGTGAAGACGGTATACGCCAGAGTCTTGAGAGTGTTGAGCTGACTCGCTGAAGTATCGGGAGCACCTGGTTTGTATAAGGCGAGGAGCGCAAAGGGGAGGCTGGTGGTGCAGATAAGGGGGAGCCCCTGAAGGAGATAGTAGTGCCAGGGGTTCCGGCCATAGAAAACCGCGAGGGACTTGGAGAGGTTGAAGTAGAGAAAGTTGTAAGGGGGAAACGTCCAGAAGCCAAAGTAGATGCGGTCCGAGGTAATGGAGATAGCAAGGACAAGAGATCCGCACAAGATGGCCTCGCGCAGCAGGACGAGCACAGTAGAGGGCGTCAGAGGTGACGACCCTTGGAGAGAGATCCTAGTGAGAGCGACCAGCGCAATAGTGGCCCAGATGAGAAGGTTTGTCGGACGGAGGATAACAGCAAAGGCGGCAAGACAGAGAGATGCGCGGAGAGACCAGAGGTGACGGAGAACAGGGGCTGGCTTGGGGTTCTCCTTTGTCGTCTGCGCAGCGCCGAGGAGCTCCCAGGGCCAGTAGTACAGAGCCATGACAGTGAGTGTCATCTCGAGGGAGTTTGAAAAGGTACGGGTGGAGCAGTACCATTGCCAGGGATTAAAGAGCTGAAGAAAGAGCTAAAGGTGTGTCAGGAAGATGCTTTCAAGAAAGGGGAGGTAACCTGCAGCAAAGAAGGAGACGTTGCTGTTGGCGCCGTAGATGGACACAGCGAGTTGCCAAGTGTACCAATCACCGAGGGCGGCGATGCCAGCCTGGAGAGTCCGAGGAGCTGCAACTAGAATGGCGGCTCGGAGGATGCCCATAGGGAGGACATGGCTGGCGATGAAGTCGGCGGCGAGGTATGCGCCAGCGAAGAGGGCGGGGTGGAGGGAGGATCGAAGTTGATGTTGCCATTCCTGTGAAGATGTTAGAAGAGTTTCATTATGAGGAGCATGTAAAAGATTAAGGTATAGGATGTGAATATTGAGGATTGGCTCATGAGTGAGCAAGAGTTGATGGTGTAAGTGAGAGAGTGAAATGCAGCTCAACCAAAGGCGAAGCCACGATAGATCAAGTTCCGGAGCACGAGATGAGGGCATAAACTCATGACACGGGAAGTAAACATACCCATGTCAGCCAAGCACCACTCCGTGGACCAAAAGCCAAATCCCACGCCGGCTCAAGAGACTGAAAGAACTCATCAGGCTGAAAAAAGGTGGCGATCCACCAAGCATTGATGAGACGGATGATGAATATATCACGAAGGAATACAGGTCGGTTCCTCTGATTCCGAGCGCGATCCAAAGAAGCCGGTGCTGCTTGTATTGAAGGCATGATGGGAATGCTGTTACTGTTGAGTGCTGCTTTTGGTTTGGAGACAGCTGGTCTGTTTCCATCTTGAGGGTGTGACGTTGGTGTTGATTGGTTGGTTTTTGATCGTCATGTGTTGTCGGAGAGATGCGAGGTGGGTTTCACCAGCCACAAATGTGCCACACCACTACCACCACCACCAACGACAACATCTGTACTCCGTATGTTGCAATAACAAGGCGTGTTGGTATTGGTGTAACTTGTTGTCAGAATTAAGTGTAAGATTCAATTGAGAGCTAACAAGATCGCTCGACAGTCTGACCACCAGTAAATCATCTCTCACCATATCCTACTCCCAAGATCTGGGCAATCGTCATCACGGCCAAAATCGGATGATTGAATGTACATTTTCCAGTCTTCTAAAAGCATGGATAATCTAATCGCGGCAAGAGAATAAAACTCCTTCAAAACACATTCAGCTTCGGTCACCAATTCGGTACGTAATCAAGTTTTGTAGAAAATGGCCGCCGGCGACATGGTACGTAAAACCGTGAGGTGGTTGCTTGAGTTGTGCCACAGTTCTGTGGGCCACTTGTGGATGTAGTTGGAGTTGATCAACTCTACGCCTAGTCGATGGACTACTATGTTTTCTTAAGGAGAGTGTTTATTCTTGAATACTAGACACATTTCCCATTTGGGACCTCAACTTGAATGTATTCAAAAGTCTTGATACTTTTCATCCGGTAGACATTCGCAATCGAGACAGAGATAAGACTATGACAGTAGCGGTCAAGATACACGGATACGACGACGGTGTTTGTCTACCGTTCCACGAAGGCGGGGGTGCCGGCGGCTACGGCGGAGTTAAGAAGATTTCTGGCGGAACAGGCGGGAACAGGCGGAACAAGTCATTCAGTCATTGGGTGCGTCCCTATCTGTGGAGCTGGCGGCGGAAGGGCGGCGGTGTTCCCATCTGATCTCAGATGAGGCTCACCCAAGCTGGGGAATGGCCTGATTGGTCAGGGATACCGTTGCAGAGGGAAGAGGGAATGTTGGTTTGTTTTTTGGTTGCGAGTGCGAGTGAGCCATGACGACATGGGATGATATCCGTGGCATTGCCTTTGCAGAGCGTCCAGAGAGTCTCTTGAGATAATCTTTTCATACAGGCAGTTACTATTCATCTCTACCCAATGCCAAAGTCAGTCTCCAACTGCCAAATCATGCCTCCTCGTAATATCGACTCCTCGATTGGCCACCATTCAATTTAGCTTCTCCTCCAAGCTTGCATGACATGGCATGGCAGCACATTGCACCCTTGTCAAAGTGGCCCCCCCCTCCATCATCCCTCTCTCACCCCAGATTCTGCTGTCATCAGGCAGAGCCTCTTGTGCCGGATCGACGACCTGTCGAGAAAAATCTACACCGCAGACCGAACGCGGTAGGTTTTTGTTTTGCCGCGAGACAAAAATCTGGCAGGGTAAAAAAAGACTCTGAATGCGTTACACTGTGAAAACATGACGGAAACAGACGGAAACCCTCCACTCTGGTCCGAGTCAGACAGACCCTCCATCATGACATAGTTATCCCATCTTTTTTCTCTTGATGCTTCCCGTCTCCTCCTCCTCTGGCCGCCGGCGGCATCCCATCCCGCCTGGATTCCGCCGAGCTTGCCCTCCCCCCTGTCAAACAATCAATTCCTTTGCAACCTCCATGGGCGAATGCGCCCGCACTCGGCGCTTGTTGGCTCTTCCCACTTGCACTTAGGGGTATAGTCTACAAGACTCAATCGTCGACCGCAGTAATTTTTACCTAACAGGAGGTTAGAATCTTGGATCTGCTGACCTTGGATGTCTTTTTTTGCGTCACCTCCGCCTCCGTTCCGCTCGCCGCTTCCGTCCTTAAAGAGCCTCGACATTCCCGCCTTTCTCTCTCCTGTTTCTTCTCTAGACTCAACAAGCAAGCGAACTGAACCTTAACCTTCATTCTTTCGCTCAACTATTGCTCCCGTCTCTTTCAGTAGAGACCATACAAACCACATATCGCATCAACTCCAACACCGCAACCATGTCTCAGACCAACGGAACCGTCTCTCGCTTCCACGCCTCTTCCACCGAAAAGGCCATTGCCATTGAGGAGGAGTACGCCGCCCACAACTACCACCCTCTCCCCGTCGTCTTCTCCCGCGCCGAGGGCATCAACGTCTGGGACCCCGAGGGCCGCCACTACTATGACTTCCTCTCCGCCTACAGTGCCGTCAACCAGGGTCACTGCCACCCCGAGCTCGTCAAGGCTCTCGCCGACCAGGCCAGCCGTCTGACCCTCAGCTCGCGCGCCTTCTACAACGATGTCTTCCCCAAGTGGGCCGAGAAGGTCCGCGATGTCTTTGGCTACGACATGGTTCTGCCCATGTGCACTGGTGCTGAGGCTGTCGAGACCGCCATCAAGATTGCCCGCAAGTGGGCTTACAAGGTCAAGGGCGTTCCTCAGGAGAAGGCCTGGATCTTTGGTGCTTCCGAGAACTTCCACGGCCGAACCGTAAGTCAATTGCTCTTGTAGAAACCAAGATGGAACTAACAGGATCTCCAGATGACCGCCATTACTCTCTCCGTCGACCCCGAGTCCAAGGCCAACTACGGTCCCTATGTCCCCAACATTGGTGCTTTCAACCCCAGCACTGGCAAGCCCATCCGATACAACAACATTGCCGATCTCGAGGAGGTTCTTGAGGCCCACGGCAAGGAGACCGCTGCTTTCATCTGCGAGCCCATCCAGGGTGAGGCCGGTGTTGTTGTCCCCGATGAGGGTTACCTCGAGCAGGTCCAGGCTCTCTGCACCAAGCACAACGTCCTCTTCATCTGCGACGAGATCCAGACTGGTATCGGCCGAACTGGCCGCATGCTCTGCTCCCAGTGGGCCAACATCAAGCCCGACCTCGTCACCCTCGGCAAGGCCATCTCTGGCGGTCTCTACCCCGTGAGCTGCGTCCTCAGCAGCAAGGAGATCATGCTCGTCGTCGAGCCCGGCACCCACGGCTCCACCTACGGAGGTAACCCCCTGGGCTGCGCCGTGTCCATCCGCGCCCTCGAGATCATGGAGGAGGAGGACCTCACTGCCAAGGCTGAGAAGCTTGGTCAGATGTTCCGTGACGGCCTCAAGGCCCTCAACACCCCCATCCTCAAGGTTATCCGAGGAAAGGGTCTCCTGAACGCTGTCGTCATTGACGAGGCTGCTGCTAATGGCCGAACTGCCTGGGATCTCTGCCTGCTCCTCAAGAGCAAGGGTCTCCTGGCCAAGCCCACTCACGGCGACATCATCCGCTTCGCCCCTCCTCTGGTCATCACCGAGGAAGAGCTCCGCAAGGGTCTCGACATTATCGCCGAGGCCATCAAGGAGCTTCCCACCGTCGAGAAGGCCGCTGGTCACTAAACGAAGAAAAGAAGAAAAAAGGACACCAAAGATCAGACGCATCCGAGCGCGAGCTCATTGGAAAGAAAAAAGAACTTTGTGTTTTTACATTTTGGGCATAAGGCATTCAGGCATATGATGCCAAGGGGTGAAAAGCGAATGAGGACGAGAACATGAATTGCATGCATAGATACCAGATACCAGCATCAGTGATGCTCTGGGAAGGCGTTTTAACGGGAGTTCCATAGTCGGCCGATTGGCCTTGTACAGGTTGGATAGCCCGCGATGAAATAAAATGCAGTTATTCTCCTAAGTTGGTGTCATGACTTGACTGTGAAAGGCATTGGGCATGGTGGCTTGATTGTGTAAAACTACATCTCTCTGACTAGGTTGCCTTGATCTGCCCTCTGGGTATACTATGAGGTTAACTTCTTTTTCCATGACTTGACTGTGAAGGTTCTCCCGCAGTGACAGCCTCTATTTACATTGAGATCTAGGACTTCATGACAAACTACATTATTAAACAAGCTTTGAATGTACCTTGATAGGTAGTATAATGAGTAGCCAACTTGATGAATATGCACTTTGTGAAACCATCATCAAGGTTGCATGTCTAGGTAGCACCAAGACACCTCTAAGGCCCAAGACTACTACTACCCCTTGTCTTAGGATCATGTTCGCGTCAAGCCGACAATTGATGAATCACAAACCTACAATCAATTACACTTTCAACGACGCCAAAAACATCATGTCTCACAGTGTCCCGAGATGGAAAGAAAATTGGCCCCGCAGCCGGACGCCGGAATCGGTGGGCCCTTTGAAACACGGCGATACGGGCCCCCCGAATCCACGGCATCCGAGAGGTCCGGCCAGAGGCGCCCACCGATGGACACAACAAGGGCGTGCATTTCGGGTCTCCGGCGCCTACGAATGGGTGGGGCTAGCTTCTTCTTCTTCCCTGTGACAAAAAAGATGCAGGGTCAGAAGCGTGCGAGTGTGTTGCAAAATTTCATGCACTGTATATCTCGGTTCCAGTTTGGTTGGGGAACGAACGCGTGGCATGCGGCGTATGGGAAAGAAGGAGACATGTGCGTGTATCTGTAGAGGGGGTTTGAGAGGTTGAGGGCCTCATATGATGGACAAGGTGACACTCCGATGTAGCGCCTTGGGGTTACCTGAAGAATACTACATGGGAGACAGTCCTACAAACAGACGGTGGGGATTTTGGCTATGCATGTCATTTACGACAGGAGGCGGGCAATGAGGCCATTGACGGGCAGGCAAACTGGAGCCAGTAATGAGGATAGTTTAAGGTGCCGTGGTTGCTCTAACAATCGTATGTTACACCTTTTTGCACCATGGCGGGAATAAAAGCGTAAGAGAGGCATTTATGATGGGGGACTTTGACTAAAACGGGTTCAGAAAGTGACGCCATCTTGGCATCTAAGACCTCGTGGTGATGTGCAGCGGAGATAAAAAAGAAGCCCCCAAGGCATTGCAAGAAGCGAGTCAAGGACCGCACGATGCACATTGATTTGAGAAAAGCAGCCTCTTTAGCGTCGAAGCGTGGACGACCTGTCGCCAGTAGATGCACGTGTGCTGGGCGTCTCGGTCAGGCACCGCGGTCTCCATCAGGTGATGGGCGACATGAGGCAGCATGAGTGGTCAATGGAGTCTGGGGCCGTTGGTCCCCTTGTGTTCGGTTTGGTTGTTTGAGGTGGCATATTGTGTATTGGGTGTGAGGAGCAACGTGGGGGGAACACGAGGGATGATGATGATGGTTGTGAAGGCGGGGGATGAGATATCGTGATGGGACGTTTTGTTGGAGGTTGCTGAAACACGCCGCTACCTATGTAGGTGGAATCGATAAAGGAAGGACACGAGAGCCAGAGATAAGAGAACAAGCCTGGGCGATTGCATCGTGTAGATCCGATCGAGAACTGGGGCACGTCTGAAAGACCTACTGTAAGCAGGCAAAGGCAGATGATAGTCGTTTCACTGCAGGCCAAGCAAAATATCCCATCTGGGGATAGGTGCATTGAGGAGACAAGAGGGTAAATCCACGGGCAGGCAGCACAGCGCAGCACCTTTATCAACCCATCGTGTTTTTTTAAGTTGACGAGGCAACACCCTCTGCCTAGCGGCGTCTAGCAGCCGATGCGGCAGCTCTCAACGACCCCGTGGCAGAGCCAGAAACAGGGGCGTGGTGATGCCGATCAGGGCGGGCAATGACGAAGCTGGGCTGAATGATGACGGGATCTTGGGCGGCTTGACACGGTGAGTTTCTTGTGAAGAAGAGAATAACAGAATACCGCCATCAGATCACGACCTCTCTTGCACACTCTGTCGCCCTGCTGGCGTGATAAGCCTTCTCTGGTTGGATCTGCCCCTGTACATCTATTGCTGATGGAGTGAGTGTCTCACCTCTTCGCCGATGGATGGATGGATGGGTGGATTGGGATGCTATCATCGATATCTCCATTCTAGCCGTCCAATTGTCGACCGGCAAGGCTGCCCACCCATCCTCTTCAGCCGGACAAAAAGTGACGACGATTCACGCATCTCGCGGCGCCGCAAAGTCCTACAGCACTTTCTTGTGCCAGCGGATTCCCCAAATAGGAACCGGCATCTGCAGGGCTGCTCTCTCTCGGCTGGAGCGCAAAGGCGCATGGATGGGGTAACATGCGCAGGGCATGATAACGAGAGACACACACAGATTTGATTACCGTCTGGATCTGTTTTTGGGGTCAGGCCATGGGATGGGGTAGAACAGACCAAGCACAAATGGCGAGTACGGGTTTGGTTTCCGATCCCGAGAATGCCATCAGTGGTGGGTGCGTGATTGCGAGCGGGTGAGAGTCTGCTGACGCCATATCATTCTCGCTCCAAGTTTCGCCATCTTTGGGGCTTGGCCCATCACCCGTCGGTCGGTTGAATGCCGTTTCCGTGAGCGAGCTATCTCCGGCGGTAAACAGGGAAAATGCCCTTCCAACTTGTCTCTCTTCCGTCAATAAACAAAAGCCCCGGCATGTGCTTCTGTCCCTCCCGGGCCGGGGCTTGTCCTATCTTTTTTTCTATCGGCGGCGATCATGTTTCTCACCCCGGCCTGGCCTGGTTTTCTGGCGGCGCGGCTTGTCGTACCTCGTGGCAGGTAGCGCCGTAGCGGGCCATGGCGCCCATGGGGAGAAACCTGGCCAACCCGGCGCTGGAGAGCTGATGGGGACGGATTAGGAGTGGTGATAAGGGGGAAGTCGCTGGAGCGATAACAGCGAGAGTCCGGGAACTGATAACGTTGGCATCGTCACCGTGATAAGCACCCGGCATCATCCACTCTACGCTACAGGTGCTTCTGGGGAAGAGAGCCTTTCCCTCTTGCACAGCATAGCACAACAATGGTTAAGCTTAGGTTGGACGGAGAGTGGACGCGTGAGTGCAGTGACCGGAGTGGTGGGGCCGAAGGTACCTCGGTACCTGTCTTGTAACTCGAAAGCCATGAAGCAGAACGGATGGAATCCAATGAAACCCTCGTGTCAAGTCATAAAACAGGGCTAGCTGAGGCTTTCAAGACCGATGACGGGATGCCTGTGACTTTTGACTCTAGAATAAGGGGGCGAACATGTTTCCTTCTTTCTCGCAAAGTGGAAAACAATATATGCCTGAGGCTCATGTCTCAAGGCATCATCATTCATCTCTTCTCCCCCCATCACAAGGCATCTCTGGGGTAAAAGGTCAGGCAACAACTGCCCTCGAGGCACCCACGTACTCGCAATCCAATGTTCGACAAACAGTGTTGGCTTTTAGCTCAACCAAGGTGGTTTAGCTCTGGGCAAGGCCCCCGTCCTATCACGCATCATGACTGCTTCGGGTTCGGCTGCTCTTTTCTGTCATTGCTGGCTGACTTGACTGACTCACTCTCCTCGTTCGTTCGCTTCCCTCCCCCAGGCTGCTGGCCTGGTCTGTCTGCTCCGGCTCTTGTCGCCCTTGAATCCTGGTATGGCATGGATGGGGGGGACACTCCTGCTTTGGGTGTATCACGGGGTCGATCAAAAGGGATCAATACCATTTGCTTTTTGGTTGCCCCCCGCAGAGCTGGTTCTTTTGTTCGCTTAGAGAGTTGCGTCTATTCGACCTAATCTCTTTCATTCTCTTAAAAGAGAAAAGAAAGTCACCAGGCGTTAAAGTCATTGGGAGACTGGTACTCCATCTCGAGGCTCCGTCCACGATCCCCTGTGTGAGCCTGCGTCCTAGCTTAGCTTCCCACCCCCTTCCAGTCCTTCCATTGCGATGGAGCCCTGGGTCATGGATGGGTTGTGTTGCAGGCTAGACAGGATACATGACCCAGATACTTGCTCCCCGGGTCTCGTTCCCACACAAATCTAAAGTACCCGTCCACAGGGTCGTGACCTTGGATGCTGATGGCCCACCCCATGTGCCAGACTGGTGTGCCCCCCTGGTTGAGTCGCCCCCTCGGCCGGCCAGCCAGCCCCAGCCCCAGGACCCCTCTGACGCCTGCGCTGCGGCAGTTCCCTTGGGTGGACGCGCTAAAGAGGTACTCGTGGGCTACTTTTGGCGTCGCGTTGTGTTTCTGTTTCCGCAGGGCAGGGCAGGGCCAGGCGTCCACTCCATCCGTCAATCGATTCAACCCTGGGCCCCATTATGGATCTTTTGACCAAGTGCCCTTCTAGAAACCCGGCTGGGCTCAAGCTCAGTTCAGTCTTTCACGGATTGTCAGCTTGAGCTGCGGGTGCAGAGCCTACAGTTGTCAAGGTACCCATCGACTTGACTTTCTTTTAGCTTCGTCAGCCTTGATTCTTCCCTTACCTCTCTCCTCTTCTATACCAGGCCCCTTGTCTTTAAACTCTTGTCTCTCTTTCGTCCCTTCCAACACAACCGCCTCCGTTGCCGCTCCCGTGGATGTGTGTGACGCAACGCAACCCTCCACCCGTCTTCTCTCGCACACAACCCAAACCCGTTTCAGCAACACCCCCAAGCAGCAGCGACAGTGCATACAGCGCAGTGGCCATCCATCCCGGGCTCCCTACGAATAATCGACCTGCATAATTCTAGACTCTAGCTCTTCTCTGGAAAGTGGACGTGGACGTGGACGATAACATCCATCAGAGCAACCTGCCCGAGTCACCGCCTCTGCTCATTGCTTCTTGACGACTCTCTTTTGCGTCGTCTAACCGCCCCATCCGCCTCCAGACTGATACCATTCGCCTCCGATCACGCTCTCCGAACCCTCCAGCTCGTCGTCCGCTCGAGCTCTCGACTCAGGTCAACGGCCAACTCTCGTATCGCGCCGGCCGCCAA